CCGTGTCCCCTGGTTTGAGACACCCTGTCCCCAAAACCCACCAGCTGGGAGGGGGGGGGGGGGGGGGGGGGGGGGGGGAGGGGAGGGGAGTAGGGGGGTGGGGGTGGTGGAGAACCATTCTTCCTGCATCCACCCTGACTGTTTCAATCTGATCATCTCAGTTCTAATGCTCTCTCTGTAGTGAGACTCACTCACTTCAGGCTTTTCAGCGTTTTGCTGATGATTGAAGTCTTAGAAAAGGCAAGAAAACATTAAAGGTTACAGTAAATAGGAAGTGACAAACACAGGGCTGGAGACCATCAGATGTATCAACCTCATGGCCTCCTATGATTTGGGAACTACCTTCCTGGCCTGACAGGGGCAATGAGGCCTGGCGAGTCCAGACGCATTGCAGTCACGGTGTCCCTTTTAGCTCCAAAGAGCTGCCCGAACAATTTGGCGTGATCAGGAAAAGAGAAAAGAACGAGAGAAGGTGAAGAATACAGTTGAGACAGCTGCAAGTGCCCACTAAATATGAAGCAGTGTAAACCCCCTGGGAGGCAGGCCACTAGCTGAGTCCAGGTGCCCGGCTGCTTGGCCAGGCGGGGCACTGGGGAGCCTCAGCAGTTGGTGGTGTGTTTCGGACCCATTTGTCCCATGGCCAGCACCAGGATGTCCTTCTTCTCTTTGTAAAAGCGCAGTTCTTTCCCTGCCAGCCGGGCCTCCTCCAGCTCCTGCTCTGCGATGGCATGCTCCCGGCTGATTATTCCCGGCATCACGTGCTCCCGGCTCACCCACTCTGTCGCCATGTGGCTACGCATGTCATCGTCCAGGGCCCTGTGGGAGTAGTGAGCCAGCACCTCCTGCAGGAGGAAGAGGAGACGGCGTCCAGGTCAGTGACATTGCTGGTGGGAGGCCGACCCCCACACAACCAGGCAGGTGGCATCGCCCCAAGCCCTGAATTGGAAAGACCACACACCCCCATATCCCCCTCACCAGGGCATGCCGCGCGCACACACACACACACACCCCCCCCCCGCACCTGGGCACACCACACACGCGCGCGTGCACTCACCACCCCCCTCACCTGGACACGCTGCACGCACAACGCGCACACACACCCCCTCACCCGGACACGCTGCGCGCATGCGCGCGCACACACACCCCCTCACCCGGGCATGCCGCGCGCGCACACACACCCCCTCACCCGGGCATGCCGCGCACGCACACACACACCCCCTCACCCGGACACGCTGCATGCGCGCGCACACACACACACACACACCACCCCCCCCTCACCATCCGGTCACGCAGCGCGCG